TGTGTGTGTGTGTGTGTGTGTGTGTGTGTGTGTGTGTGTGTGTGTGTGTGTTTGACCTGCCTTGCATTTCTTTTACTAGATGTCATTTGGAAAAATCTGTTCGGGGTTGTTTTAAAACGTCATGGTGGCGACTGCATAATATACTTAATTTAAGCGTCTGAATTGTCAGTTTATTTATTCCTTCAAAACAAACAAAAAATGCTACATCAACAACAAATGGCAGTTGCATCTCTTGTTTGGTTGTATGTATGTTATGTGTTTGGCACCACTTTCAACATTACAGTAATGAGTGACAAAACAAATTAACAGTAATTGTTTAATCAAGAGGTAGGAACAACGATTTTTAACTTTTATTTCCAACACGAGAGAACCGAGTTGGTGAAGAAAAGCCGTGAAAAAACAAATTTTAAAAAATATCCTTTGTCCAAGAACGCCCAATGTTGGTTCTAAACGAGGGTCATCCGCATTACAATAGTATAACGTGGCTATGATACCTGATGAGCTAATAATTGGACTATTTTTAGTGTAACAAATCAGTTATGTTTTAAACGTCAATGCTAGCTGCATCTCCAGTTTGACGTCTTTAGCAGTTCTAGTGTTACAAACTTTTTGTTGGTATTATTCAACGATAGTTTTTTAAAATGAAAATAGAAAGGACAACGACATAGTCATTCAGAAAATCAAGCAAGACATATTATATTCAATGACAAAAGTGGCCAAAAGGTCAATCTTGCCGAATGCCTTGATTTGTTGAAACTTGCAATCGTAAGACTGATTATTATGAAGTTTGTTTGAATCAGCTTTACGGGGTGAACAAAAAATATGGAATTTATTGTGACTGCAATAATTATGTATAGAAGCTATGTTGGCTGTCCTGATTTGTTTTCTATCTATTTATCTATTTATATATATTTTTTAAAAGGCTCTTTTCGTCTATGCAGACGGTCAATGTATCTATTTATAAATATGTTATTTGTTTATTTGTTTGTGTTTTTTATTATTTATACATGCTTATGCATTATTTCTTGCGGTGTCCGAAATCGAGACATGAGTGGTTAAACCTAAACATTAGTCGTCCATTTTTGGACTCGTCCTTGTGTACACATTCGTCAAGAACTAAATCTCTTGTTTCTTAAGTGTTATTATTGTGACGACACAAAGGTTTAGAGATAAAACGCGTAATAGCTAAAACACTGTCGATGATAATGTAGTTGAAAGAGATACTGAATGAAGTATAAGGCAAAACTGAATTGTTGCAGTGAGAGTTAAGACTGGATACGAAATATTCTAAATCAGTAAATAGTACAAACCCACTAGCTATTGAAGGTAAGGAAAACGAGACATTCAAACACAGGCGCGTACCCACTTCGTCAATAGACTTCTGTAATTGCTCTTCGTCTTATTTGGGGATGGGGGGAGGGGGGGGGCT